TCAGAGTGGACATCGCTCATAAATTTACAAGATGCTGCAGCACTCGATGTTTGGGAGAAGAAGTGGGGATCAGCAGAGACCAACAACGGGCCAGCGTCAAGGAAGGAGAGAGTAAGAGGGTAAATGAGTGGGTAATGTTACGGTTTGACCGCTATTAGAGCTTAGGTGAATACCTAAGCGGCACTGCTAGTCAGGAGGTCGAAGCGTTACTACAACTAAGTAACACCTGGCAATGCGTGGCTGGGTAGCAAGTATTGTGCCTAAGGATAAGTCATCAGTCTGGAGATTGACGAAGGGGACAAATTCTTATAAATACCTGTTAGTCGTAGCTAGAGTTCTCTTTTCTCCTCATATAGTTTAATAAATCTATTTATTCACAACCAACTCGGTTTCCGTCACAAGCTTCGACAATTGGTCGAAGTTCGGGGGGCACTCTGCTTCTGTTGCAGCTTTAGGCTGCGACGTAGATTTCGGCGCTGCTATTGGTGCAGCGTTCTCCAACAGTATTCATGCTGTTGGAGGAGATTTTGATAACTCTCCAATCCCGTGGAGAACGGAGGGTGGTTGAGGAATTTCCTCAATAATTTCAACTGACCCGATCATGTCAGTATCGGGTTCAGCGACGGCGGGGAGGGCTTTTTCCTTCCCTTTAATTGAGACCTTGCTCATCTCCGCGCATTTCGGAGACTGGGCAAGGCCAGGTACTTGTTCGAGAGCCCTCAGGTGGACTCTCGTGTTGTCCAACTTGGCGTTGGGACGCTTTTGCGAACTGGAGGCATAGTGAAAATGCCTGAGCTCGATCACAATTCAGAGATGGATGCGACGAGGTCGAGAAGGGAGGAAAGAGGAAAAAAATGAATTTTCGAATTTCTCAACAATCTGCGTTCTGTTTGTTCATTAACTTGCTGGGTTACATGACTACCGTTGCACTCCTATTGGAGCTCAAGCACGTGTGGGGTTGGGCCGGATTAGGTTACCTACCGTGAAGTACAGATAAACCTCGTGTCAGTGGTGTCCCATACGAACCTGGGAGTGAAATATTCATCCAGAGCCGAGATTCAGTCACGACAAAGGGTGAATTTGAGAGATTTCGTCGAGTTGGCGATCGGGAGGAGTGGTGTTGGCTCATTTTTGGTCGAAAATCCGACTTGCGGAGATTTCACGACTGCACAACTCAACGAAATCAACCATCTACACCCCAGATACTAACCGCAGACAGCCTACAACCTGTCTGATGTTCGTATCATAACAACCGACACCTTCAAAATCTTATTTTCTATTTCTCTTGAAAATCATTCCTAGCCAAACTCATCTCGCGGCCCTCTCAAGAATCATCTCACCACCTGTTACGGTTTGACCGTTGTTTGAGCTTAGGTGGATACCTAAGCCTGTTACTAAGAATTCTTACTATGAGGCTGTATAAGGGGGAGATGAAGCTGAACGAAACGGGACTACTACTCAGGAGGCTGAAGCGTTATTACAACTTAGTGACACCTGGAAATACGTGGCTGGGTAAGAAGTATTGTGCCTAAGGACAAGTCACTAGTCTGTAGATTCACGAGGAGTATTAACTCCTATAAATACCTGTTAGTAGTAGCTAGAGTTAGCTTTTCTCCTCATATAGTTTATTAAATCGATTTATTCATCACCAACTCGGTTTCCGTCACACCACCTACCTAAGCAATCCCATACCTCCAAAAGCCAAGTCGCGAATAAAAAAGCAAGAGGATGTACGAACCTACGCAATTGCTAGTCGCTGTGAAGGTCCGGTCAAAATACCGGCCTTAGATGCGTCCTCACCTCGGTCAAGGGCACCAACAACTCGACCTGCGACGAATCGTCACCGACGAAATACGTACGACATTTCGCCGGCACACCAACTAGAGCAGTCGACAAAGGCCGGGGCACCAGTGCCTCGGTCTTGAGCTCTCAGTCGCGTTTTCGACCTCCACGGTTTGAGGTACGGCAGCGACGGGGCAAGGCCGGAGGGGTGGACATTCTACAAAGTTTCTGGGATGACGAGATCGGCCGAAGGACAGAGGGATGCTGCATGAAGGAATCAAAAGAGAAAACAAACTGAGGAGGCCTTGGTGGGCGAGTGGATGAGGCCTCCAGTGAAGAAAACGACCCCTGGATGAGATGAGGAGATGCTGAGATGAGCAAAAGCTGGGAATGAAGCGAAGGGAAAAGTTACACATCGCGGAGGTGTCAAGGTCTCGGGCGCGTGTTGGCCGAGGCTGAGGGGGAAATTGCGCTTCGGCGCGCCTAAAGGGGGTTCTCTGGACGGTTGGGCTTGACATGATTCAACACATGGGTGTAGTCTGAGGTGGTCCGGTCATTTTGGTGGGGCGAGGTAGATGTACTTAATGGTAGTTAACCTGATCCAGCCCGGCCCCACCCGTGCTTAAGCTCCAGTAGGAATGCAACAGTAGTCACTTAACCTAGCACGTAAATGAACAAGACAAGACAGATAAACCTCGTCCCACTTTAATGACCGGACCACCTTAGACTTCACCTATGTGTTTTTTTTTGCATCAGTTTTAATTGCGTATGCAGCTATCTAACTGTAACACAATATCAAAGAAAAGTACAGAAAAGATGACTCAATTTACAAGAAGAGCACTCATGCCTCGGATTTCATTTGCAAGTACCACTGCGAAATTATGGTGGCTTTTTCTTCACCCCAAGTCATCCCTCATCCGTGAATACCCACCCAGGGGAACGTCTCAAAAACCCTGAGTTATCCAGACATGCCTCTATCATCCATCAACTTTTCTCCGCGCGAAATGTAATCTGCGACGTTTCCTTCGCAAGTGGAGTGGGTACCCAGGCTACTCAAACTATACTGGAGAAAACCACCGGGAGGCGGACCACGGCACCTTCCATCAATGACTTGTGTTTAAAGTGTCAGCTGCACTCTCGCAAGCGAAGTCTTAGCGCGTACAAAGCTCAATTCGTAAAACTCCTGCCAAAATTCGAAATTTCACGCCCGTCGAGAATGTATCCCTCTTTTGCATCATCTTGTAAACTTGTCCTGATCTCTCTCACGTCCATCCCAAAGAGCTATCTCCCAGATTTGTGCTCCACGCTTTGCTTCCTCCGTCGGGTATAAATATCGGCGTGGGCGTGTATTTGGTGGTCAGCTGAGACCAGAGAAAGTCGACGAATGGTGTAGTTTTTGGGATGAGGATGTACTATGTCGTACTTGTACAGTTGATGAGGCTTGGGTAGGAATCCATCTCGTTGGGAGTGAAAATTTGACGTGGTGGAGTAATTTGAATCACTGCCTCGTGGGCCAACTTGTTCGGTATTGCGAAATTTGACTGAACTTGGCTCTGGAAGAATATTTCACTCCCAGGTTCGTAGAGGACACCGCGTACAGGTGTTCAGTCTTGCCCTCCTTTGTGTTGAATCATACCAAGCCTAACCGTCCAGAAACCCGTTGTATGCACGCCGTAGCGCTATTTCCTCCTCAGCCTCGGCCAACACGCAACCGAGCCATTGACATCCTCATTGACTCCGAAATATAAATGCCGTCCAAGATCTCGTCGTTGCTCTAGCCTTGCACCTTCATATCGTGCCGTCGGGTTGTTATCGTCGTTGGGGATTCGTGTAATCCCCTCAGTGTATATCCCCTTTTCTTTCTCCATTGCACACGTCCTGTTTCCATCATGACATTCCTCATGAGGGCGTGTGTAGTTAGGTGACGTGACGAATATAGAGGTGGGTCGCAGGTATAGGATCGACAGAGAAATGCTTCGTCGCAAATACATAAGGAGTTTGAGAGATGTCGGATGTTTGAATACGACTCCCAGATAGTCCTAGGCCCATTCGTGAATCGTATGTTGGTGGTATGAGTTTTCGTTCGACTTTGTTCTGGCTGTGAAATCTCTACCGACTGATTTTTCGACCAAAATATCGAGTGCAACTCTTTCAAGTAGAAAATCCATCAAATAATATTCATCCCACCCTTTTTCGTGACTGAATCTCGGCTCTGGGAGAATATTTCACTTCCATATTCGAAGAGGACACAACTGACAGGTGTTCAGTCTTCGTCCTCCTTTATGTAATCATGTATTAGCGTGCTTGTAACATTAGGAGTTTCCTGTTAGGATTATGAATGAACAACTTACATCTGACTGAACGAACTCCACAGGCATCCCGTGATACTTATTACAGGCATGCTTTGAGTTCCAAGTCACCGTAGGCCACTTTGCGACCCCTACGCTCAAATGCACAGGATTGCCGCAGTTGTGTTATTCTCCTTTCTTAGTTCCGCCGTTCTCTCCAAGAGATCAAACCTTGACCGTTGAACGCTGGCCTTGCATGCTGCGAAGTTTAGACACGTCCCCTTCTGCGACAATTTATGGGCCTTGCTGCAGTTGCAGCAAAGCACCGATTCCCTCGGGCAGTCTCTAGTCTGATGGATGCCCGCACAGCCTCCACATCTCCTAGCCTTAATACAGGGTTTTCACATATTTATTTATTTGGCTCTATGTCTTAGGCCTATACATTATGTATTTTTCATGTGATGTTACCATGACGCTATAGAATAGTTGCCTATCTTTAATTCAGATAAAGTAATATCCGGATGTCAGGATCCAAAAATCAAACGAATATGTCAACGCGATGCAAGAACCACCTACTCCAAGTCACTTCAATCGGATAAATTAATCCGACACGCACACTAACACTATACAGGCTTACTGGTGTCTTTTTGCGCTAGATTTGGGCATTGTAAAAAGATTACCGGTATACCTTTGTGGATACTTTTTGGTGGGTTTTTACCGGACTAGGAATGTACAAACTTGATCAAGGCGATTGGAAATCTACTAGATGAAAGTGCCTTTTAAGGGTATGCTTAAATTTTTAGAAATTAATTTTTCATGATAGCTTTTTAGTAGCTGTCCAAGTTCTACAAGTACACCTCATCCCACCCCCCCTCCATTCGCCCTAAATTTAACCAGATATCCATTTACCCTAGAATTAGCCGAGTTTACTTAATTGGCAGTTGGTGAACTTTCTATGCTGGGCTTGTGTAAGTGCCCGGGACCGGGTTTTCCTCGCCCAATACCCCCTTGATGATTTAATTGAAGATTACTACCCGTTGCGCTAGTTTGCTGTTTTTGTTGTGCTTCTTGTTGTTGACGTAACATCTGTGCATAAAGTTGTGGTGTGCTTTTCTGGGAGGTAGCAATACCATTAACTAAAGGTATGGGTACATTCGAGACATTATTCACTGAGCCTTGACCGGTGTTTTGTCTCTGTTGCTGTATTGATTGGGCAAGTGCTTGAGATATCATACTTGTTATCTGGTCGGCTGTCGCAGATGGGTATTTAGCTTTATACTGAATCTCCATGCGCTGAACGTGAGAAAGAGCCTGAGGAGCTTGTGTAGTTTGAGAGGATCCCACTTGGCTCGGGGAAGTGAGTGAAGTAGTTGGGGATGTTGAGACCCCATTAGGGTTAGAAGGGAAAGGAGGCACCATGTTACCTCGCATAGAAAATCCCGGAGCAGATAGTCCATTTATTCGCGAAGGCGAGTTATGTACCTGAGATGATTGGCCTGTGACTTGACCTTGTTGCTGCTGTTGCTGTCTCAAGATGGCTTGTTGATGTTGAGATATAGCATGAGCTCTCGACACGAGTCCAACATCGAGAGAGGAATTAGATAGAGGTATCTGGCCTTGCATAGGGGCCTGGGGTACGGAGTTCATGTTCATGCGTAGCGCACTGGAATTTGGGGTAGAAATTTGAGAGGGGATTTGATGTAATCGGTTCTGACCAGGTATGTTTGAAGCATGGTTGACTGAATTTGATGAGTTAAGTATAGCTGTAGCACCTGCAGGAGGCCGTATAATACAAGGTAAGCCAGGTTGTGGTGGGTGGGTCCCGGAGTTTCTTTGTGAAATTGCAGCCTAGTATTTCAGCATCTGTAAAAATTATCACGGATCTCAACTCACCCTACGCTGTGCCTCTTGCCGCTGTTGAAGGTGTAAGAATCTCTCCTTGATTACCTCTTCACGTTCATACTTGAGACGGCTGAAATCTTGTGGAGTCGTTACTGAGAGACTTCGACTAGTCACGTGTGGGGCTTCTTGAGACTTTCTTATTGCAGCCATACTAGCGGCGTGTTGTTGCTTTTGGAGAATAGTTTCCCGTTTTTTTGCTAGCTTACGCATAGTGTCAATGAGTATAAGATGTTTTTGGTTTCTCCGACGTTCAACACGAACACTAGCTGTGGATCTCTTACGAACTTGTTGAATTTGACCTTGAGCATTGTGCGTCGGCTGCGAAGCCATGATGATTTTGTTGGCGTTCTCTATCCGGGAGGTGTATAGTTTAAAATAATGAGTTTTCTGCATATCACCAGGCAAACCTTCCAATTCAATCCAACGTTCAAAGCATTCCCAAGGAGTGCGACGTTCTGCGCCTGTTGTTAGATTAGACTTGGACTTACTTGAGAGGATGCTTGAAATGAGCGACCAGTTGTATGTAAAATCTCGAACTAGCAATTTGAGCTCTTTATCTTCATCCCATGTCCACTGCGAAGCTGTCCGGCATTCATAGAAGGTTTGCAGAGGCATATGAAATTCTGAAGGTGGGCGAAAACAGTTCACATTCCTAATTCGTTCTAATATATGCCTATTTTTTGGATTAAAGAGTGCGACATCTGTAGATTCTGGTGGGAGTAATTCGTGCTTAGTTTGGTCTTCACCGAATGTAATTCGTTTATCTTCACCTTCTTCGATATCCTCTTCTTGATATTCAAAACGGCTACGCTTTTTGGGAGGCGCCTCTTGTTTGAGGCGTATTCTCCCTTCGACGAATTTACTTAGCGGAAGAGCAGGTCGCTTCCAAAATCGGTCTGGATCATTTTCAGGCGCTTGGGTATCAACTAAGGGTACTTGAAGTGGAACTCCATACATTGGTAATTCATCTAGAAGCTTATCTGCAGTAGGAGAGCTTCGTAGTCCAAATATAACATCTTCATCTTGCAAACTAAATATTTCTGTAGGGGAAATAGTCTCCAATAGATTAATTCGAGGTTCTTCGTCAAAATCATGTGTTGGAGATTCGCATTCTCCGGACATACTTATATCAGGGGTTGCATAAGCGTTAATTTGGTTAGCAGTATCAATCGTTGTGACATCATCAGATTTACCAGGACTTTGAGAACTTATTTCAACCTGAAGTTGCTTTCTCTCTTCTCGACTAGATAGAACCCATTCTGCACAAGCGAGAGCCATATTTCGAGCAATTACTTTTTTCCATTTTCGCTCCTCTTTGAAGTCAGTCCTCATCCATGAAGCCTCTTGGAGCAAGATATCCCAGTGTGACACAGGTCTAACTGGCTCTATGGAGCGCTTGGGCTGCCTCAATGACCATTTGTGAGAAGATTGTAAGTGATAAATTCTCTTAAGTATCTTAGCTGTCTGGTTCTCCTTAATTGGCACGAGAGCGTTGGATGTAGTTATAGTTTTGTGGGCAGTAGCCATTAGAGTATCTAGAGCAGGAATTATCCCTTTTCCCGCTGAAGCATTGGCAAGGAAAAGAGGCAAGAAATAATCATCCTTTAATGATTCTGATAACTTATCCATTCCTTGCACGGGATTTAGTTCGGGTGCTACTTTTGATGGCTTATGTGAAAATATCACATTTGAAAGCTTGCTTCGCCCTTTTTCTTTCCGTTTCTGGGCAAGCAACTGAACTCGAGATGTGACTTGAGTGGTGGAATGAGAAGCTTTGGTAAAACCTAAACTGGGCTTGATTGCACTTTTCAAAATCAACCCGGATGATGACTTGGAGCCTTCAATAATCTCAGATACGGATTTGCGTTCAAGAACTCCTGAACTAATTCTCGTATTCCTGCATTCCGGAGTAGGAGGCGCCGAAGTATATTTTACCGAAGCTGCTGATGAGACGTAAGGGATCTTCAGACAATTGAATAACGGCACTGAAGTATCGGATTCGACAGCACTTCCTAAAGGAAAAATTAAACCAGTTTTAAGAGCTTCACTCGAAGTAGTACTCTCGCATGAATCTAATACTTTAACCGAATCAATATCCGTGGCACAACGATCATACATCTGGTCTCCGGCACTTGCATCAACAGTCTCTCTAACTCCCTCAGTCGCTGAATCTGGGACATTCAAAGGTACGGATGATGCAGGAGATATTTCATCTCTATCAGGAGAGCCACCCTCGTTATGTTCAACATTTTCTATAACTTCTAAAACCGTGTCACTAGCTTCATCCGACAGTGACTCAGGCAGAGTGTTTTCTTCTACAACAGTCTTTGTCACTTGCTCTTCAATCAGCTTTCTCTCAGAAGGCCTACATTCGCCTTTCGTGAGGCTTTGGTGGACTATGTTACCTTGAGGTTTGCACACCATATTATCTTGATGAACATGTTTAAAATTCTGGTGTAAGTATTCGGGCTCAGGTGAAAGAGTAGCTGCAGAATTCCCAGTATCTAACTTATTTACGGCCTTGCGAATTTTCATCTCCAGACTCGTATCTGTCGATCTATCGACTAGATCAGGCGTTGCAGCAGAATGAGCATCAAGTTTTGTTCCAATTGATACTTTATCCAAACAAGTTTCCTGGCTCAGCATTTCAGTGGATAGATTTTCATTCTGGATTTCTTTTTGGGATTGTGTCTTCCCACGAAAACCTGATCGGATTTCTAGAACCTCTTCATCAGAGAATTCTGTGGGAACATTTTTCTCACTTCCACGCAGTGTGTTGTGTGATCTGAAAGCATGTTTAGAGTTGTGTAATGCATGACGAGGGGAGGGAGTAGGTATAGATGTATCATCTACCTCTCTCTCTTGTTTTTTAAAATCGAATCGATGGAGAAGGTCATGGTTAAGAGGCGGTGAATTAGAGGGTCTTTGGGAGTCATTCCGATTTCTAGGCTCTTTGATTGACGAAACGGCCTGTGCCGGTGATTCTGTATGAGAACTTTTATATAATTTTTTAGGGACGATATCTTTCTGGACAAAAGCTTCCTTGGATTGGGTTTTAATTGTTGCCAAGGATTTGTCACCTTCACTTGCAACCTCAAATAAATTGGTCCGACCCTTCTTAATATTTGATTCATCGCGATGTGGCTTGCCTGCTTTTCGCTGAATCTCCGATTTTCGTAATTCAGAGCTTGTCTTGTGGGCTGAGGATTTAGTTCTCGATGCATTCGTCTTTTTTTGACAGCGCAGAGGAAGGTTAGATTCATCAAAGAGCCTATTTCTGCGGACACGGGTTAGCTGTATGATTGGTCAACGACTCTATATATCAAAGGTAATCGTCGAGTTTAATAGATGGCGGAGTTTAACATACTGTAGTATATCGGTAACGGCGAGAAAGTGAGCTTCGGCTGAATTGATCGGTGGCGCATCGGGATTAGAGAAGTCGAGTTGGGGTATCGGTGATTCATTGTCGCATACAGCGAATAACTCGCGAAGCTTTCTCTTGCGCGACTTAACAATTCCACTATGCTAGTTAGATCTATTAAAATCATGCGAATTGATGCTTCGAAGAATGCGCTACATTATAGAGGCAAAGAAACAATTGATTTACCTGAGTTCAGCTTTTTTTAATCGTAAAAGCCGTGAGCGGTCGGCTGCTCCAACCTCACTCATAATAGGGATCGCGACATCCGTTTTTTCGATAAAAAAACGGATGGTAGATCGGAAATACAAATATAGTTGTCAAAAATTGGAGAAAGAATTTGATGGAATGCGATGGTTTGTCGTGATAATTGGTTACTTCACAGGACTTGCTGTTCTTGGACTCAGTTTGGAATTTGCTCCTTCAGACCTGAATTCTGCAGGCGAGGTAAAGTAGAGCTACCTAGCCCCTAGTATGGGTAGGGACGATCACGCAAAGAACATCAGATATTCAAGAGATATATATACGTCTAATCACTGTTTATTTCTACAACAGTGTTTGTACTAAATTTTGGTTCCAGTGGTGCAGCTACTCATAGCTGGGCGGGAGCTTCATTATTTAGACTCGATAGAGCGGGCTCGTTGTACAAGGCTACTAGAGAACGATCTATGTAACGACTACCAATCCTTTGCATAAAATTTACCCATTGTTGCTCGCACACCTCAAATCCACATTTCTTGATTGAAGTGTCCGGATCTCGGTAAGTAAATCCCACTCTTCTATGATTTCTCAAGAAATTATCGACCATTTTCCTCAAACACTGAGCTGATGACGGCTGATTTAGGACGCTTAAAGGAGGCCCGTGCGAGACTAGACTCACATCCATCAACGGTCTTAGTCTAGGACACGGTGCTTTTAATATATTTGGAGGGACTGCAATATTGTTGAACACATGTCCTGAACTGCGATGTCTATCACAGAAGAGATTTAATGGTTTATTCACGAACTTGAACCCCATCTACGCTAATCCTTGCAGAATGCATGCATAAAAATGGAACACATTACCTAGCAACTAAGGTCGAAGGAAGTTAAGCATTGGACAGATGTATTAATTTTTAACTCCAACTAGTCACTCTAAAATATTTCGCGTCCTTACACCGAAGGTCGAAGTGTGCTTAGTACTGAGTGATACCCTGTTCAGTTTAACTCCTCATTTGCGTCTGTGTGAATCCAACCTCAGCGCGCAAATTGAAATTACAATTAAATTACCAATTATTTCAGAAGGTTACTTTTAGCAAGAAATCAATAATTAAAATGGACATAAATCTCACTTTATCGTGAAAATTTGACGACTTAAGTTTAAATACTTTCTTTGTTTCTGATATCCAATTTGTGATTGGTACTGTTTAATTCTGTTACCCACAGCTATATTGCTGAGAATGCCTTCTCACTAGTATCGCTAAGAAGTCTAGAGTAAGAACCTTGTCAAAATTTTTATATTTTTACATTTAGTTGAAAACATAAAAATCTAAACCAATTTTAGAGCTCCTCGGAACCTGAAAAGCTCAGATAAGGAGAGGTCCCGTAGGAATACCTTAAATGGTTAGATTTCGATACCTATGATGTTTTCTAGCATATAATTCTGTCATTTATCCATTACCTGTCTTTCCAACAATAGTCTAGCTCTGGTTTCGAATGCCTCTATCATCATTCCAGCGACCTTCGGTGCCATAGACTTGCTGACCAAAGAGTAGAGAGGATTCGAAAATTGGAAGTCCAGGCTTAAATGGACTTCAGTCCCGGGATTCTCGGGCCGATTGATAGCTATTTCTTGACGGTCTGGAAAAGATAGCCCATATTCAACAGACCTAACCATCCATCTTGTGCGGAGCGAGCGGAAAATATTGTTAGACAACGCTGGAGCGTCGATCGTATTGATGTGATGCGCAAGCTTATCTTTAGGCAGCGAAGTGGCTGCTTCACCACCAAGTGCCTCAACAATGGACCCTGGCAAACAAAATACCCGCGAGGTAAAACTTTCCTCTATCCCCCCCCACCCAACTTTCAAATTCGCCTCGGATGGCCATGACCTGCCGTTCTGATCTGGCAAGGATTTTTTAGTGACTTCTGAATGGAGACAGTATGGAAGAAATTCCGAGTAGCTGTCTATATCTGCGATTAAATCATAAACTGCGCTATATTTGTATGGAATAAACCTAGAGACGACGAAACTTTGGGACTCAGTTGCAAGAAGAGATATGAAACGAGTATTAGTAAGTTGGGATTTTGATAGAAATCGATTTATTCGAGACATAGTGCTTGACATGCTGATTTATTAGTGTGAGCGATAACCTATTGCAAGTAATCCGAATTATGTAACAAACTTGTACGCTCATAATATCCTCCTTAACTGAATCTAGCGTAGTAATTGATCTGCATTTTTTCACCGCCTTTGCTTCACTTATAAATACTCGACCTTCGCATTTGCTTTTTAGAATATTGGCCATCGACAATGATTCTGTCGCCCCAACAGAAACAAGAAATAAACTTGTCGAGCACCGGGAAATCTATCGCCGACTCTACATCTGATGAGGTTCCACAAAAGACTGAGCCCTTTCAGTTTGGATCTCGAATACTAAATGCAGAGAAGGACGTATTTGAGTTCAATGCCTGGGACCATGTAGAAACTGACGATTCGTACAAAGAGTATGCTCAGCTCCAGTACACCAAACAAAGAAACGACCCGGTGTCTGAATTTGATAAGAGTAAGTTCCATCAATCGTTAAACCACTTCTCATATTCCTGATGATTTGAAAATGCATAGTTCATCTGAGGTAATAACCCATGAACGAAATAATACATCATTGTCTTTCGCTCCTATCTGATCTACATTTTCAATATTTAAAGAAATGGTTTTACCACTACTGAGGCTAATGATTAATCAAGCTAGATTCAATTCAGAACCAGAAAAATGGTGGAATAACTTCTATAAGAATAACACTGCAAACTTCTTTAAGGATAGGAAGTGGTTACAACAGGAATTCCCTATAATCAGCAGAGTAATACGACCGGACGCCGGTAAAATAGTTCTTCTTGAAGTTGGTGCCGGTGCCGGAAACACGGCTTTCCCTATACTAGCCTGTAATCAAAATCCCAATTTAAAAATACATGCGTGCGATTTTTCGAGGAAAGCTGTGGAAGTGATGCGTGCAAATGAGGCCTACAAAACCACTAACATCCAAGCTGATGTTTGGGATTTAGCCTCTGGACTTTTGCCTCCTGGCCTCCATGAAGGTAGCGTCGACATAGTTATGTTAATCTTCGTTTTTTCAGCCTTGTCACCATCACAGTGGAAGCAAGCGGTTGAAAACGTGCACAAGCTACTGAAGCCTGGAGGTGAGGTTTTATTCCGTGACTATGGCCGAGGTGACTTGACGCAAGTACGATTCAAGAAAGGCAGATATTTGGAGGAGAATTTTTACATAAGAGGAGATGGAACTAGGGTTTACTTTTTTGAAAGTGATGAGCTACAAGGTATATGGACCGGGCTAGATGCATCAGGTCAAACAACAGAAGAAAAAAAAACAAGTAGCTTCGAGGTTTTAAAGCTAGGAGTGGACCGGCGTCTGTTGGTTAATAGAGCTAAGCAACTTAAGATGTATCGTTGCTGGATGCAAGGTCAATTCCGCAAATTTACAGTATGAAAATCTCATTGAATACCACATTGATTAAAAATAATGAGACCCCTAGCGCCATTCACATTTAGTGATACGCCAACCCCTTATGTGGTATTGACGGGGTTAAAGGTTGATGCACAGCTGTTTCGAGTTCATTTCGTTTGGAACCGTGCAGTTTTGTGGAGCGACCCATACTTATCGATGCGAGGAAATGTTGTTACTAGTTATCCAAAACAGCTTTACGTGTTCAATATTTTTCAAAGAGATACGGTATTAACCTAATTCCTACCACGGCCTAACCTCAATCGCAAATTGCTGTAACTGTATTGTCTATTGTAGGTCCACGTCCTCCACACCCAATATTATTAGGTATACTTTTTCAGGTCAAGAAGCTATTGACATTATGTTTACCAAATAGACGCGAGGCTATTATCTCTCAATGTACAGCCTCGCACCCTCAACCTTTCTGACGCAGATGTAAGGTTATTAACTTCAGATTCCAAAGACAAATTATGAGAATATCATAGTTCCAAAATGTCACAATTCAGACGTGCCCCCCTTGTGATGAGTTCGACCAACCAGAATATTATTTCTTCCTTAAAGGCAACGCAAATGATTGACAGCAAGCCCATCCTTCCTATGGATCTTATTTCCATTATTCTCGACTTATTACCAGTTCCCGATCTAATAAGGTGTGCTCGAGCCTCAAAAAAAATGCTATTAATGGTATATGAAGACTCAAGATGGGTAAAGCGTCTAAGATTAATGGGCGTTTCTCATGAAGAAATTACAAAGGATCATTCAAAGAATACTATACAGATGAAAAGAGAAATGTCACGGATGAAGCGCACCGAAGGAACTAATGGAATGGGATACGCAGTCTTCGAAAATGATGCAATTACGCCGGGGAATGATAAGACCACCACCTTCGACCCCGGGACGATAGAAAAGCGCCAAAAAGTTGCAGAAAAGCAAGATATCCAATCGCTATCTTTATCGGAATTTGTACCTATGACAACTTGGAACAGCCATCATACCCTCATATCCCCCATAAGATCTTCAGAGATTGACTTTGAGGCACCTTTGAGAATCTTTACTGATCATGAATCGACAACAGGACCTGCAAGAGTAAAGTATAGCAAGATACATGTCGTTCTAGCCCCATTTTATACTGATCTCGTTGCATCGACGAGCTACCAGGACCTCGTTATATTTAAGCTTTATCAAGACCCGGAAAAACAAGCACAAATACTTGCTCACCTGCAGAAATTTAGCAAGTGTGATTTAGCACAAGGATGGGAACAGAGATTAAAAAAGGTCAGAAATATGGTTGATATCTTTGAAACTAACGTCCTCAGTAAATTCAAGCTTGGTTACAAAGATGGCGATATTGATGGAAAAATGTGTCAGTATGCTCATGTTATGGCAAGACTTAATGGCGGACATGCAGGAATAGATTTTTTTATTCACGAAAATCCTATATTTTCCGAAGAAGTTTGTAGAATTCCTAGGAACTTGATTGATCAGGATTCTACGGAAACTGCTTCACTTGAGATATCTAGAGATTTCTTCGAAAAACTTGCGCGAATGCTCAATGAGCAAGCCAACGTTATAGATCGTGTATTTCCGATCTATGAAAATGTTTATCAACTACTCTTTGAGAAGAGCGTCGATGAAATCCTCATGGTTTATGTAAAAACGCTCTTAGGTGAACTTTATCGAAGAAGCAGAACCTCTTACACAAGAGTAATACCTGGGCTTTTCCAGCAGAGCATTCGTTTCGGTTCCTCACTCGAACCAACCAAAAATTCCGTTGGAGACTTTCCTCAGCGGGTGAACATAGCAATATCAAATATATTTGAAACACACATTGATCTTTATCTCAAGGAGGAGCTAGAACAGTTTAAAAGAAAAGCTGAGGCAGACGTCAATGAGTGGGAAAGTAAATTAACTGCTCAAGATGCGTCTGCAGAATCGTTTTTCATGGCCAATTTCAATAGGCAAGCAGATAAGAAGGACTTTCTATCATCCTTCAAGAAAGTTGTCATGATGCCCGTAAACGTTTTACCACCTTTTGGAGTCAAACAAATTACAGCTAGGCAACCATCAAATCGTGGCACACTGCAATCACCAATGACCCCAGTAATATCAAAACCAGCAACGCCTACTCAAAAGGGCTCAGATGACCGCTCCTCATCGCCTATACTACTACCAGTATCAGCACCAACTGACGAGCTTGCCGCTAAGGCTGCACTTATGGCTTCTCGGCTTGAGGGCATACGCTCTCTATTTTCAATTGAGATAGCTCTTCATATTACCCATGATGCTAAAGCTAGTATCGAGCGTGTTGCTCACTTGGTTCAGCTTCAGGGTCAAACTGGAAAAAAAGTACGTCACCAGTGTTCAGAAATATTCATACTTCTTCTTCAAATACTAGGCCAACGTCACATCAAACCAGGCTTTGATAAAGCTGTTGATCATTTGTCAAAATACAATCCCCGTGAGATCAAAGAACACCAGCGTGGTGTTGCACCACTAGTAACTTTTCTAGAATTAGTAAACGTTGGTGACCTCATTAGCCAAATGATCGACGTATTTTTCGAACAGCAGCTGTGCACCAATAAACTTGTTGATCGAAATGACTTCCTTGAACCAGCCGCCAAAGCCAAGAAACATTTTGAGAACATGCTTGATGAACGCGTAGCTGCAGGATTGAATACAGGTATCGATGTTCTAATGGATGAAGTCGAATATCTTCTCGCCACGACACAGCTTCCAACAGATTATAACCCAACTCCAAGTTTAAATGGTGATGCTGAGGTTGGATCCACAAAAGCTGCTGAGCTGGTCGTAGAGTTAGTTGAAAGTCACACAAAAATGCTCATAGGTAGCACCGATAAAAGCATGCTTGATGTCTTTAACCAAGAGGTAGGTCGTCGGCTTTTTACGGTGATTTGTAAGCATCTAAAGCGACAGCGAATCTCGATTGATGGTTCTATGAAGCTTATTTCAGATATGAATCTCTTCTTTCTTTATACCAAATCCTTAAAAAACTCAGAATTGATCGAGTATTTCAAGGCCTTGAAAGAATTGAGTCAACTCTATTTAATTGCGCCGATACATGCCAAAGAAATAGCAGAAGTAATTGCCGACTCAAGTCGATTCGGAGGTATATTCAGAGCCGAGGAGGTCTACGAGTTTGTGGAACGCAGAGCTGATTGGTTTTCGGTAAGGCGTGATGTCGAGAAAGCCATGTATGGCATTGGGTGTACTGTAATGTAGCCGAGCGAAAGCTGTAGCAAAAAGTACACTACACCCTGCAATCGCTTCTAAACTCATGGAAAAGAGTCTCACTCTCAGCCTACAATGTGATATGAGAAAACGCCTAAGATATCCGTGGATATGGTTATAATCGAAGAATATCGTCACTGAGTTGAACGTAATAAATTCGACACAAAGAATATTCGGCAGAAAACCTCAGCTACTAGTTGACCGCGGTCGTATAAAGTAGCGCCCTATTATCAGGAGTATTCAAGATCCACCACGAGACTTACTATTTCAGATGAACCTTACTACGCAGTTTTGATGATCGAAACACTGAGAGAAAAACTAAGTACATAGGGCGACTAACTCAAAACTTGGTAAAAAAATCAAATCCTTGTACACTGGGTAACGAAAAATATGGTGTGCGACTATCTCGAACAGAAATTTGATTCCAACTCACTGAATAAAGTATGGAAGAGTGATAGTTGTTTCGAATAATAGTGGACCAGGTTAAAGTAGATACGTCGAATCTTGACTGAGAACCCCTGGATTAAATAAACGAGCATATTACACAGATTACTTCCTAATAAGTGAGATAGTTTTTCAAGGAAAAAAATAAAGACTAATTCCCCAACACAGGTTACTCTAAGATTAACGGCGCAGTAGACAGTGCTAATTGTATTGCGTGAAACTCCATCAAAATCTAAGCAATATTGAAGAGTACATATTAAGCTTAGATCCGGCAAGCAATATATCTTTATCGCTGTCATATCCAGCATCATAATAAAAAAATTGCCGAGGTTTCCAAGTGAAGGAGGGAGTCACTTTTTCTACGGGTAGCGTGGAGATTGGAAAGTTGTGTCTATGGGTATCTAAATAAGGATAATATTTAGTAAGAGATAAAATTTCCTAATTTAAATTAGAACTTTCAAAAGATGGTACAGATCTCTTAGTGTTTGCTATCAAAAGTGAAAGAGGGATAGTAGGGTCGATATATTGCGGAAGTCAATTGTTCTTAACTAGGCGGAGTGCGGTAAATAGGGTCTTTACTAAATCACAAAAAATTTATATTACCGACGATTAATGGCCTAGGACTAACTAGTTTATCATTGATTGTAATGTCCGAAAGGTATTATTTAGAAAAATAATTCATTCATTAGTTGATATTGCTCAAATGATCGTGACTAGATCTTAACGTCTTATTTAGACATGATTCATCATTTGCACCTGTCGCATCATCATGACTACGTCTCAGTAGTTGGAGAAACATTATTGACTGGTTACTAGAAACCTAGTCAGGACCCTAAACACATAACTGAGACTAAGAGATTACATTAGAATAGATTTTATTATAGTCCTGTCTGAGTCTATGACTATGGAGGACTTCTGGGATCTACCTGAAAAGAAACTAAGAAAAATTTATTAGGTAAATAATTATTCTGATGAATCTAGATCTAGAGTTATACAATCTGGCTGCTTAGCTCGAGGTATATGAGCCTGACATATCATGTATAATAAAAGATATAAATAAATAAATAATTCATTTATCCTGATTTGGCGCCTCAGGCCTATGCAGGTTTTTATCGAAAGATATGTATACCTTAAGTAGGATGACTCAATTTGACGTTTAGATCACTCGCACTCAGATTTCTTTTGCAGATACCACTAGAGGTTAACCATTACGGCGTAAAACCTCTTCCATGCATACCTACCACAGGGAAAAGCGTGAAAACCCTCTGGTTATTAATTAATTAATTCATTTTATTGTCCTGTCTGAACCTATGTGTGACGAAACCAAGTTGGTTGTAGTGTAATTTTAGAAAGATTAAACTATATGAGGAGAGAAGTACCACAACTACGGGTAATGACTATTTGTACATCCTTCTAGCTCATCCAGTACATATTCCATTGATGAGAATCATATTGTTCCGCCACTGCCCGTCGTCATCTTTGCCATCTAGCTGACTCTCTCACTTGGCGATTCTACTTCGCCCTCTCACATTCCTTCCTAGCTCCAATGTAATGTAGCCAAGTGAAATTTAGTCGCTTGATACAAGATAAGACGAAACACTCTCCCTAATACGCCCCCAAACTCCGCTTAGGTCTCCACCTAAGCTAAACCACGGTCAAACCGTAACACTATGACTATGTAGGACATGTAGGTCCTCTCTGCCTATAGGCCAAGCAAACCTATACCAGTAGTATATCCCCTCCTATGCCTCCCATACAGCTCACCTCAAACAGTACCGCCCCCTACAAGTTCTCATTCGATCATATATTTAGAGGAGCCCTTTATCCTTCCATATCTCCCCTCTAAAGCAAACAAAACGATGGCCATTTGCGGGTGTGAAGCAGCCGGGAAGAATCGCAAAAAACCACCGGATGCAGGGCTCTTCTAATACCGACATTAGGACTAGATCCGAAGACATAGTGACCCTTCTGAAGCGTTCGAAGAGGCCGGCCAGCTGGGCGCTGCAGACTTGTGGGTACCTAAGGAAATTCACCCTCTGCCTCTCTAGCCTTCTTCCAACTCCTTCCCGAAGGTCGTGGTGAAATGTCAGAAAAGTCTTGACACAGCGTGATTGCTGTATGGTAGCTTAGACCAGCTTCTTTTGTGCCGTCTAGAGCACTGGGAAGTGTCGTTTATTCGTCGACAATAGGAGTTCTGACTAATTTGCCGAAATCATGGTCTTGGCGCCCATAAACGTTCTAAAGTTGAAAACCCATCGAAAATGTCGGTCCAAGAATAGTCTTCAGATACCTCTTCCCCTTCTCGCTACACATCTCAGCCACCTGGCCTCCCTCAAGTGGTATGATCCCATTAGAGCAAGTCACCCATAAGTAAGGACCAGGCTTTGTATTTTTCGACTTGATTTCCTCCTTGCGGGTATAGATATCGTCATAAATTTGTAGTGAGGGATGGCTAGTAATTAATGGAGCAAGCACCTGTTTGTGATTGGAGTTACATCTTTATCGGTCGTTAAGGCGAGATGATGTATGGTTAAATAGTGGTTGAGGACTCAGATGAGAATGGTAAGAGCGGCATGATTGATAAGTCTTCAAATGAATAAATGCATGTGTTTGCTTTCTGTTTCGATTTGGATGAAATTTTTCTTGGCAATCTCAGATATACAGAGCATACTGAGCGATTACACCAGCACCACTGGAAGGTGAATATTTGGCTTTGCTGGCGATTTGAGGGTTTTCTATGCCTAGATGGTGCCACATTTGTTTATGTTGTAGCTTAGACTCTGTGCCGCTTACACTTGTACTTGCAGCGCAGACTTCCCATTCTTTTAGAAATAATTCGAACATGACACTCATTTAGCCAAGTTCTTCTTTCGTTCCATAAATGTTGCACCCATTTCTTTTTTTTTAATAATTATTTAACGTCGTGCTAGCTCACAACACAATCTTAAGGTCTCGTGTTAGCCAGCTCAGTCTACATAAACTACCCGACGTGTTGCACCTATTTCAATGTGCGATATTTCCAACACTACTCACAAAAGTCACGTGAATAATCATTATAAATGCAACCGGGTAACTCCGATTTTAACAAAGACAAGGGGGTAAGTCTGAAACAGACATTTTCTCCTTAATCTTGCAAAAAGGTCTGAAATAGCTAGTTCATTTATGGTGCCCCTGATTAATATAAGACTATTATTACAATGCAGGCCTATTCAAGGAAGCTATTTTGAGCAAATTAGGCCACTTATATTTGAAAATATTGATACAAATTTTGGTCGTTATCACATTTTACGCTTTGATGTCGGGAGTGTGAATTCTTTTCGAGAGGACCATCCATTCATACTTCGTTTAACGCCAAGGGTTTTTTTACCTGTTGTAAGAGGTTGGTTTAGCAACTCCATTGTAGTTTCCTGACCATTACAATGAAAAGTAGAAGAGGAATTTGAAGAAGCTAAAGAATTGTGTATTATTTTGCTCTTCTTCGACTCGAGCATGTCATATTTTATGGAAGAGCTTGGCAAAATATTATTCTGATTTTGTTCCCATTTTACCGTACTTGACTGTAAGTTTGGATTTGATCGGAGGTGTATTTCCGGAAATTCACCATCGCACAATTCGTCTTTATTTTTTATAGTTTGATCAGATTCCATGGTATGATTTATCACGGTTACTTTGGAACTAACAGAGGTAGATTTTTTAAAAAACTTATGGAGAGATTGTTGAGATCCAGGGGTAGATTCCTTATCTTTTGATGGTAGCATACCACTAGAAGTTGCATAATCCAGGTATCCCGGAAGATAAGTAGCATTAGCTACTGAACTGTTACATTTTTCCTCGAGAGAGCCATGATGCTTGCTTGCTCTAATAAATCCAGTTGAAGATTTTTGAAGAGATATACTAGAGATAGACGCACACCCAGGAGCAGCACTACATATAGATTTACTAGCCTTCAGTGATATTTCTCTATCATCACAAAGGTTCGAGCCGTTAGTTGAAACACAACGCCGTTTAAAGCCTTGTTTATTTATATCGGAAGTATTATTTCTTATTCCAGAGAAAAAATTTGACTTGAAGTCTTCTTCGTTATTCTGATCAAACAGGGGATAAATATTATCAAAGACACTCTGAAGATACAATGAGGATTTTGCTATGATATCAGGCGAAGGTAATGGACGTCGAAGTATCTGTGAAATTGATTGTATTACATCCGATTGAATTTCTGGACCTCTCTGATCCATTAAGAATTTGAGTGTATTTGATGGTAAAAACGGGCTGAGCTGAGTTGTTTCTCCGTGTGAGCTCTTAATAGGGCGGCTTAGGTACAATAATGCTTTAGCTCTGGTCATTGCCACGTATAACAGCCTTCGCTCTTCATCAGAATCCTCCGATCTTGAATGTGGAATAGATCCTTGATAAGCAGCTGGAATAAAGACGACAGGCCATTCTAACCCTTTAGCTGCATGGATGGTGCTAAGTGTGATTTGTGGAATTTGGTTCGCTCCGTTTTCATCCATTTTTACTTCTGAAGCGAGCGCAACATTTGCAAGAAATTTGGACAAGTAGTTTACCTTGCCGTTTTGCTGTACATCATCAAGTAGAGGAAGTGAATCCTCATCATACCCATCCTGTAATGAATTTTGAAATTCTGTGACTTGCATCATTAGCTCCTCAACATTAGACCAGCGAGCTTTGTGATTATCATCGTAGTGTTTTTCCAACCAATCTTCGTATTTTAATTTTTTTAGTACATATCTTAACAAGTCTAGAATAGAGGGCGCAATATCTTCACTGCATGAATTTTTATTTCTAGCAGTCAAAATTATATCACAAAAGGATGACAGACCTTGTTCAGCTTGTTTTGTTAGTTTTATATTCTGAACTCGCTTTCCCTGAACGACGCCTATTACCAAGGACCAAAGTGTTTTCTTGCTTCTATCTGCCTCCTCTAGCAAACGCTTGATCGTGGTCTCTCCAATTTTTCTTGAAGGTACATTGATAATTCGTGAAAGCGCATCATTGTTATCTGGCTGATCTATAACCCTGAGATAGTCCAGTATTATTTTAATCTCAACTCGGTCGTAAAATCTAACACCACCTAACACATAATGAAATTAACTTCTCTATTTTAATACTATATAATTCCGAATAAATGGAAAAATGATATTAATACTTACCAATCATTCTATATGATAGACCAGCTTTTCCAAGCGCAGTTTCAATTAATCGAGACAAAGCAGCTGATCGTAGTAAAATAGAAAAATCACTCAGTTCAAGCAACCCACCGGTGACTCCAACTATCCTTTGAATCTCGGAGGTTATCCATTCAGCCTCAGTATGAGCATCAGGTAATTGTCTTACCACTGGCCTTGTCCCAACGGCATGCGTTGGAAGGAGAGATTTTACAGCTCGGCTACTGTCTTGTTCAATGACACTTAACGCAGATAGTAAAATTGCACCTGAAGATCTATAATTCTCTTCTAGGGCAATTGTTACTGATTCTGGATAATACTGCTGCATTCTTTCATAATTTTTTATCTCTGCAGCCCTAAAGCTATAAATACTCTGATCTGGATCACCAACGATAGTTACCCGCTTTCGGTAACTTGAAAATAGTTGCATAAGTCTCTAAAAGCATGACAAGTTAGTTTTCTCGTTAAGAATAAGACTTGGTGAGGCAAGTAAAAGGATATATGGTGTTTTTTGCTTGAAGACAAAGGGATGTTGTAGATACGAAGTAATACACAGGAAACAGCAAAATTTTATTAGATTTCATACAAATTGAACGATATTTGTGTCCTGAAATTCATCGACAAGTACTGCTTCTACGTTCGCTACACACTCAGGGTGTTTTACAAGGAGGTCGACACATTTTAAGAGCAAGTCGTCGTAATCAAGCAGGTTTGACCTGCAAAGTGCTTCCTCATATTCTTGAAAACAAATCTCAAACTCCTGAGTTGATAAGGCTGTGGCACTAGATATGTTCTTGCTATGCTTTCTATCACCGCCTCTTGCCTTGATTCCGCTAATACGGGATCGCGCCGCCTTGGGATCAATATTAAATTCATGTCGTTTCACGATGCGCTTGATTATTGCTAGAGAGTCTGCTGAATCTGCGATACCAAAATTATTTCTAATTTCTATCAGATAACCGTACTGGGCAAGATATCTTCTGGTGATACTATGAAATGTGCCGAGTATTAATTTGGACGACTCAGACGTTCCTACCAGCCTCCCGATGCGTTCTTTCATTTCACGTGCGGCTTTCACGGTGAAGGTTGTCACAATTACATTCCGTGGTTGTAAGCCCTGTGCTAGCAACCATGCCGTTCGGGAAGCCAACGTATGCGTTTTACCACTACCCGGACCCGCTAATATTGACAGTTGATCGTGAGCAGAAGTGACTGCAGCCCTTTGAGATTGGTTTAAATTGGATACTGTAAGCTGCTGGCGCATATTGATGGAAGATAAATATCAGTTGAGGTCAGGGATATTCAGCGCAGCATGCTGATATCCTGCAATAGACGCAAGTCACATGGAGCTTCTCTAAGCCTTGTAAAATCACGTGATACCATCTTATATATATGTCACTAATTGAAGCATACGTAATGGTCTAGCCTAAATGTCGGCTTGGCGGAGCAGCAACGACTCGATTGTTTGTCTAATCTTTTGTAGCTTCGATTTTTGGCAAGATTCGAGTTCTGTTGGCTTACAGATGTTGAACAAATGTAGCCTCTGGCAACTACTCTCTCGAACTCTGTTAGAAATTGTCAGGGATCTCTAGGAGGAGGAGATATCTCGAAGAACAAGTGTACAATTTCATACAAGAATTTACTGATAGTTGTATAGGATCTCGAACTCTCTTCTCAATACGAATTAATAATACATAATATTCTGTTAACATAGGGGGACTATTCTCAACACCTGTCAGTGGTCTCCCTTACGAACCTCCAGCTCTCACTGTAGAGTCTGCAGAGCGGAGATTGAGTAACAATATCCTCACTTCGATGAGAATCCCCAATCGCTTTTGCGCTCTGCATCGTCTTCATCCCTGAGCACAGCCCCCTATCACCATTATCATGAAGCTAACCGCGATTAGATCAGATGGTAGGGTCGAAGCCCTTCTCATCACCAACTCTTTATCATGGAGGAAATGCCATCCGATGAGTTTGCGGAGCGTACCCAGCACCGGATACGGAGATGGTGGACTGGATCAAGTCGGCCTCGAATGTTACAAACAAGGGAGATATAGATGAATATGCGCACCTCATGTGGTCCCAGTGTCTAGGCCTCGCCTAGCTGGGGCTGCAGGTTTTTTGGAGACTTTTTCCCGTGCACGCAGTTTCCATTGCTACCATTATTTTTGGGGGGGTAGAAGGTTCCGTGGAAAAGATGGCCGAATTCCACGGGTAAATACTGAGCTAAATGGCTATTCATCACGGGCAGTATATCAATCATCTTTCAAGAAACATGAGAGGTAAGGAGCACTGTACAAGGTGCGACCTGGGTCATAGAGGAGCCCATCGTGCTAGATAGTCAAAGACTCAAGTAGTACAATTAACACACACACAATTCCGTGAACTTAGTTTAACATGTACAAATAAGTCTATCCTTAAATACGGATCACCAAGGCTTTAGTGATCCAGAACTCCCAGTGATCCAGCAACAGCCAGCCACTCAATCATCGCAAGGTAGCATTTCCTAGCCACTGCATTTCAGATACCACTGAACCTCATGTCGCCCAGCTAAGATTAACCATATACAATCGAATCAATTCAATTGATCTTGATGATCATACTTAGAAATCTAAACCTTCATACATTCTAAGTCTAGATTTCCAACAGACTCTCATTTGTTTGGATAGTAGGGCGCCTCAGCTACAAGAGCAGTTGGCTCTGGCGTCCATTACCATTAGGTAAAGTTAGCGCGTCTGAGCCGCAGCCAGCGCTAGGAAAATGTGAAATACCACAGAAATAAAGAGGGACTGGATATGAAAGCTTCACAGAATATGTCCAGCGGTTAAAGTACGAAAGCAGAATCCAGGCGACACTTTAAACACCGCCATGGTAGGATGGTGCGATGTTAAATAGTCCTGGCCGGTCTTCCAAGTAGAGTCTTGATAGCTAGGATACATATCTCACTCGAGACAGTAGATTGCCGGTTCAAATCCGGCAAAACACAACCACTTTTCTCGCAGCGCTGCTATCCATGAATGATCAAGGCATTCTTGCATAATCAAGGATTTTGAAACGTCCCTTTGGTGGATATTTACGGAGGGGGTGGACTGTTTGTGTAAGCGAACATACCTCATAGTAGTATTTGCGAATGAAATCCAGAGTATGAGTGTCTCTAACGTCAAAAGAGTCATCCGAAATGTACACATAGCACCGATCATGTGTCATAGCTCTGCTGCTGAATACACATTAAATGATTTTTTTTAAAAAAAGTTCGAAAACACTATCATTAACTACTCACATTGTCAGGAGTACTCTCTTGACAATCTATCTTTTTGCAACATTGGCAATACTGGGCTCAGCTCTATAAAACACAAAACTTTATTTCAACCATAACTTGGGCTTTTGCTTGAAAGAAAAGAGTTCGTCTTTTGGCACCTAGGTACATGTCACACGTTTCGTTGATAAAAACTTACTAACAAGTCTGATCGGAACATTATCACGGAATAAAATAAAGTTTTTGATTGATTTGGCTAATTTCTTCATATTTTTTTAATTCTTCACTTATATCATCTGTAAATCATGACGTCCATCGGACGGCCGAGATTCATGAATATTTTAACCTTCACTTTTTTGCATCAGAGTCTAATTGCGTATGCAGCTATCTAGCTGTAACACAATATCGGTTAAAAAGTACAGAAAATATGACTCAATATAAAAGATGAGCACTCATCCCTTGCATTTCATTTGCAAGTACCACTGCGAAGTAATGTTGGCTTTTTCTTCACCCCAAGTCAACCCTCATCCGTGAATACCGACCCAGGGTAACGTCTCAAAAACCCTGAGTTATCTAGACATGCCTCCATCATCTTTCAACTTTTCTCCGCGCGAAATATGGTCTTAGGTGTCTCCTTCCGAAGTGGAGTAGGTGCCCAGGTTACTCAAACCATACCAGAGAACACCGCCAGGAGGCAGAACACGGTACCTTCCATCGTCGGCTCGTTTTAATAGTGTCAGCTGCACTCTCGCAAGCGAAGTCTTGGCGCGCACAAAGCCCAATTCGTAAAACTCTTGCCAAAGTTCAAGATCACACGCCCGTCGATACTGTAACCATCCCCCGTGTCATCTTGTAAACTTGTCCTGATCTCTCTCACATCCATCCCAAGGAGCTATCTCCCAGATTTGTGCTCCACGCTTTGCTTCCTCCGTCGGGTATAAATGTCGGCGTGGGCGTGTGTTTGGTGGTCCACTGAAGCCAGAGAAGGTTGAAGAGAGGTGTCGTCATTGGAATGAGGATGTACTAGGTCGTACTTGTAGACTTGATGAGACTTAGGTAGGAGTCAAACTCGTTGGGAGCGAAAAAACGACGTAGAGGTGTAATTTGAATCAATGCCTCGTGGGCCAACTTATTCGGTATTGCGAAATTTGACTTAACTTGGCTCTGGGAGAATATTTCACTCCCAGGTTCGTAGAGCACACCGCGTACAGGTGTTCAGTCTTGCCTTCCAGAGTTATTGTCTGTTTAAGGGGACGAGGGTGTAACTTTGTTCACTAGTTGATGAATCCCACGTGACATCAAAATAAATTCTCTTATTGTAAGTGACAGTGTCATTAACTTAGCTTTATGATCGAAGTGAGTGACGGTACGTTGTTTGCGAAACTTTCAGGCGACTGTGGATCCTCCTAGTTGAAACAAATAACCTGAGAAGCTCCTTCGAGTATCTAGAAAATTTCCGTATGATGCATCATAGTATCCATTGAGTATCAAGGGAGATTTGAACTCACATGTAAATTTGAAAATTCTCGTTCCTCTGATGTATCGCAAGACCCGCTTGACATCACTCAGATGAATAATTGATGGATCCGAACTAAATTGTTAGGGATGTGAGATTTCATATGCCAGGTTAGGCCTCGCTGCAGACGCAATATACATTATAGATCCGAATATTTGTGTGGCGGGAAACCCGAGTTGGTGATGATTATGTCGATTTTATAAACTGTTTAAAGAAGAAAGAGAAATATAACTACAACTAACGGGTATTTATTACATTCAGCCTCTCAGTGATTGTCTTGATTGATTTCTTCACCCTAGGCTGAATACTTACCACCCAGCCACACATTATCAAGAATCACTACGTTGTGACACTGATCTGGCCCCTTGGTTGGTAGTGCGGTATCTCCTAGTTTCCTCTATCATTTCTTTAAAGTCTTACGACATGAATCCTCAGCAATACGCTTAGGTATCCACATAAGCTCAGACAACGGTCAAACCGTAACAATTTGCTGATACAGCGTTGCGTTAGCCCTAGATTCTCCATTTCTCGCTGCCATCAGTTGTTGGTTACACTCGATAGGCGTGGAGATCAAAATGCAGTCTTGCATAGAAAATCGGTTCAGGATTCTATCTATATATGCGGTTTGCGACAAGCTGATTCCAGCATCACAGTACTCTATTTGAAATACAAGTAGCCAGTGAAGTGTTCCCATGTCTTTGACCTTGAATTCGCCTTTAAGCGGGTTAATAATTTCATTCAATAGCGAATCTTGTTCTCCAATTAGTACGATATCATCCATGTATACCGCTAAGTATAATTCTCCTATATTGCGGATAAAGACACAGGGATCAAAGGGTGACGAAGAAAACCCGAGGGGAATGATAAATTCAGCCAACCTGAAAGACCATTGCCGTGGTGATTGCTTCAATCCGTATATACACCTATTAAGTTTTGCAACATGACCCTCTTGCCTGTACCCTTCAGGAAATTCCATTTAGATTTCTTCATTCAAGATCCAATATAAAAATGCGGTTTTTATGTCAAATTGTCTTGGTCTCCTATCTTTCGAGGCAGAAATCGCTAAGAGTATTCTTAAAGAATCAAATCGCACGACTGGAGCGAATGTTTCATCGTAATCTAGTCCTTGGATCTGTGAGAATCCTTTTGCGACGTAACGTGCTTTATATCTTTCGATTTCCCCATATGCATCTTTTTAAATTTTGCACACCCATTTGCCACCAACAACTTTGCGACCTGAAGGACGAGGAACAACAACCCAGACATCATTTTCTTTGGGGGATGACATCTCTTCTTCAAATGCTATTTTCCAGTCTTCCCAGTTTGCTGATGCCTTAGCACCATTGTATATTCTGGGCTCTTATACATCAATGACATTTAAAAGTGCTAATTCTTGACCCTCATCATCACTATTGTTATCATTCGAACTTTGCGATGCGAGTTGATGAAGATTACAAGAAGTTTTCCACTACTCCCCCGTTATCGTCTC